TCACCTTTGGTTTTGGGTCGTGAGCCAAGGACTAACAGTATCAAGTATGATGACGCCCTGCTGTAAATGGCCTGGTTCTGTAAAAAAAGGGATCAATATGTCACTCGTGATGAACTCTATGGCTCAAGCTTAAAACAGGTTCAAAATAAACCATTCTACGTGAGCGCTCTAGTAACCAGCTCCACTGGAGTACTATATTTTCTACTTTAGTTTGAGTCTAAATCAGCTGTCAGTCTGAGAGACGGGGCTGCGTTTGCTCATAGAGAGAGAGAGCTGCAAAGATCTGACACGGGCTGGAATCACTGGTGACTGTTTCCCGGTTATTGTGAGATAAAAATCTTTAATTTGGCCGTGTTTCTCAGCTGATAAAAACCCAACGTCACAACATCAGTTCAAAGAAGAGTCCACCTAAACACAAAGATTCTTTTTACTGGTTCAACCGCATTGTTTGACCCTGAAGCACGTTTTTGGTGGGAGTTGATGGGTGGGGTTGTAAAACAGGAGAAGTAGTTGATTTTCTCTTGTATTGACGCTGAAAGAAAGGAAAGTACTAAACTGCCAGTGTTTTGGTGCAGAAGGGACTGTTTTTTGATCATGATCATGATCAAAAAACAAATAAATTGTGTCAATTTGTCAAAATGAATTTGATCTGGAATCAGGGACACTATAATTATTCTGTGGTGATGTGGCTTTTTGACATCTGTCAGCCAAAGTGCCAGAAGCCTTAAGTAGAAAAACTCCTGCTGTATAAGGAACTTTTGCTGCATACTTTATCTAAATAAATACATGAGTACGTGGAGAATTTGCCTAAGTTTCTAACCATTTTAAACCGGAACCCTTATCCAGATTACCCTGAAAAAAGGATCCTGGTTTCACAGTTACAGTCATAAGTTTTTAGACACGGTAATCAGTTCTGTTTTGTGTCCAGAACATTCTTTTCGGATGAAACTGCTTTTGGTGGAACAATGTGTTGAAAAGATCCATATTAAAAATGATAGGGGTCAGGTAACCACATTAGTCATACGTGAGGTGCGTACCTGTATGCAATGGTAATTCTGTAGCACGATTTTTGGCTCTATTAAACAAATATTCCCACTGGTTTTATCAGGAACCAAAACCTCTGTTTTGAGCAGTTGTCTTTTGCACTGTAGATGCCAATTCTTAGCTTATTGGGAACAATTGAGCCCGGCATGTATAACCGCAGGCTGGACTCGTGGAGGTCAGGATGGAAACTTTGGCCTAAAAAAAAACAAAAGAACAGTTAGCCTCCAAACATGACTTGCCCAGCTGACGAAAGAGAAACCAGCACAGCAGCTCAGCCGCTTTTATAATCTAAACTACCGCTATCCCAGAAAGCAGTTTTGTGTTTGCAACCATAACCTTGGAGAAGAGGGTTGGAAGGCCAGATCAAAGCAGCCTGGAGGGATGTAAGTCAGCCCACAGAGGTAAATGTCATTATTTGTAGTGCCTTTTTAATCTTGGGCATGTTCTAAACAGCAATTTGAGTTTGTTTCTCTCTCACACATGAGTTATATACATCTCGGGATCTCTCTTGTCATACTGACACTGAAAAGCACATTGATGGTAATGAATAATGATGAAATGTTCCACCATAAAAAGACAAGAGTGAGCCTGTGATCAAACTTACCATTACCTTGCAATTCACAATTCCCAGAACTCACACATCATGCACAGTCATCCCTAGAAATACAATAGTGTCAGGAAATTGAGGTTCAAGATACAAGACACAAGTTGATTTGAATAAATATTTACTTGCATTTACATATAAGGCACACCTACTGTTTGTGCCCCTCTGTCTGGGACAATGCAGAGGCTGGGCTGAGGCCGAACTGGAAGTAGTGAGGCCTGCTTTGGTCAATATGCTCTGTGTCTAATCCCCCACTGTGAGGCGTTAATCCAGTGTCCTAACCCCTGGCCTGCCTTCATAATAGCACATTATGTCATATCCTCCTGCAACGTAAATGAATAAGTGAACAGTTTGGTCAAAGCATGTCGCTGGTTGTGCTGAATTTGAGGTCAGAGAGCATTATGGTTAATTCGACCGAAATATCATGACTAACTCACTCTTAAAATCGAAGTTGACTGCATACACTGACATTAGACTGTCATTCTCTTTTACGATGTAGATCCGACTAGGTTATGTCAGTTGATGGAACTTTTGTAGTTTCCGTCTTGAGAATAAATATTGGTAATCATGGCATTTTGTTCTTTGCCAAAGGGCTCAGTGCACTGGACATACTGAGAGAGGTCGGACATGCTGTTACTTTACATTGTTTGTTCTTTGTTTTTATCTAAAAGCTTTCTCGGATATGATTGGTCAGGTTTAGTGGCCTGACCATACCCTGCCCACAAATCTATATGATGTATAGGTGTAAAAGGAGCACTAGTTCTGTTTACAAGACGGTCAATAAATACCTGGAAAAGGATTTTGTGGAAATGGAAAGGTCCAAAATACATTTTGAAAGTACTGTATACCGATATACATAGTATTTGCACATTGCTTGGGCAAATACTGAAGTAATACAAGAGAGAAACTCTATCCACATCAAAATATTACATTTGATTTCATGATGAATTTTGTCATCAAAATTAGATGGATGATTTTTCTGTATGTGTCTGAGGTCATTAACTTGTCACATAAATTAACTGGAATTTAATGTCGATCACTTTAACTATTTCTTGACACAGTTTTAAGCTTTAGTTTTTGGCTTATAAATCAAAAGGTGAGTCTCCATTATGGTGCATTAAAGTTGGTAGGGTAGAGCTTCCTTTGTTTTGCTTTTGCTTTTTCATTTCAACACCATATAACTGATAGTCTCCTCGGTGTCACCTCAGTTGAAGTTTCCAATGAGCTGAGCTGTTGTATAGGAATTTGCAAGCACTGCAGTTTGTATATTAAAGTACATACAGGCACACACACCAAACACTTTTATTCTGTGGAGTTGGGGAGTTCAGCACACATCAGACTGCATAAATCATAGATTGTGATTTACACATTTGTGTTAACGACTAAAGAATGAACAATCCTCTTTCTGAACCCCTACCATAAAAAAAACACATTATTTAATATTCGGCATTTAATAAAACCTAATTTTACTAAGCTGATGACCTTTCCTTTGGTATTCCTAAAAAAGTATTCCCTTCATTGATCACACATAAAAGATTTAATTAAAATTAGATATCTAAACAAGTCACTGCTTTCTACAATGAGGTCACACTATTTGGACTAAAATACCCTGAAAAGTCTGTGCTTTTTGCAGGCTAATGGAGATTTCATTTGAGTAATCAAGCTCGGCTAAAGAGGCAATAAGACGACAGCTCCACAGTGTAACACATAGTTAAATTCAGCTAAAAGATATATGCCTATCTTTCTGACGAACTAAAAAGGAACATTTTGTCCTGAGGGTCTGCTTACACTGCGTACAAGCAGTAGCCTCTTTTAATTAAGTCAGCTTTCTTTTTTCTTTTTTTACACAGCTCCGTCTGCTAATGTCCAGCTTAAGGTACGGCTATGTTCTTGCACGTAGGCCACGTAAAATCCCGGCGAGCTAACTTATTTCGTGCAACGATCCAGGGCGGCTTCTGTTGCAGCTGAAGGTCGGCCATAGGAGCTGGTCACGTGGTCTGCGCGCGAGTAAATGACGGGCGGTGGAGCAGAAAGAGGGGGAGGAGGAGGAGGAGGAGGGGGAGGACGAGGAGGGGGGAGGCAGAAAGAAAGTGGGGGTGCTCCTCGGCACAACGAGGAAGACTGGGGGTTTTTTTTGGACTAACGAGGGGTTCCCCGTGCGACCCGGAACATCTGCCGTCGACCCCCTCGGTCGGGGTCTGGCGTTTTCCGCCCGGCTTCCGTCGAACCTCAGCACCTGGGTTTTTTTCTTTTTCTTTTTTTAGTTTTTTTTTAACCGCCTCGAAAATTGGATGGGACGCACGCCCGAGCGAGACAATCCCGGAAATAACATGCGTACTCTCAGCCTGTCACGTACGCTCGCTGAGGATTTGCATCGCTGTATGGCTGCCGGAGGTAAGCGCAGGGTCGGGCTCCGGCACGGGCACGTTTGACAGGCTTCTTTTTTTGGTTTATTCGTTGCACGTGCGTTGAGCCCTTTCCCACATTTTTGAGGTGCGCTTTTAACAAAACCCCAAAAAAGAAAAAAAAAAGTAGAACCAATAAATTGATGCAATGTTTTAAAGAGGAAACCTAAGTATGAAGATCCAAACTTGGTGACGGATGGAGATGGAATCTATTGTTTTAATTGTTAATATGCACTAAATGTTACATAGATTAAAGCAATATCTGGCTGTTTTTACCGCATACTTTAGTCCTACTTGGTGTCTATTCGATCCTTTTAAAAAAAAAGGGAATTTGGATTCGAAAGCACAAGTGTGTTGTCGGTTTCCTATAGAATTTGAATGATAACCCATTTAAAACCGGGTTGTCTTTTTTAGCTGCAATTCCCTTCTTATTTTGGACATTTTCACGTTGGTTTGCGAGTGTCTGCTTTTTCATTATTATAGTGACAACACAGTATGCAACAGAGATGTGTTTGGTAATCTTGTTGACGAGTTTAAACGAACTCAAAGGTCACACAAGAAAACGCCGTGGCCCTGAACGCCTCATTTATTTCTTTTTCTGACACCCTAGAATAATTGAGATTTATTTTCCTTCTGCTGCTCTGTGACAGGTGGTGAGCTCTCTGCTTTATTTAGCACTAAAGTGTATCGTTTTACTCTCTGCAGATGCCCCCCCGGCGCGATCAGAAAAAAACGTTTACAGGGCAGACTGAAACAAAAACAAACGCACGTCTTTAGGGGAAAAAAAAAGAAGGGGGGGCTGAAACAGGGGGCGGGCGGGCAGGGGGAGAGAGGGAGATCTGGACATGAAACTTCAGCTCCTCATCGCACCCAGAAGGCAGAGGCTCGGCTAGAAAAATGAAGCGCGGACGTGAGGTACGTGCGCATCCAGCTGATGACGAGATCAAATGGAGAGTTTGGGACGGACGGAGCCTTTAAAGCCCGGCTCTGCGCGCGCGCCCGTCGCTTTCCCGGTCTCGCGGCAGACGAGCAGCAGGAGGACGAACGCTCAGCCTCCGCTCTCGGCAACGCGAACTCCCCGCCTCGGCCGCCGGCCGGACATGGGTCTGAACGGCTTCTGCTCGGTCCCCGACGGGAGCCCGGCCCCGGCGGAGCTGCTGGTGGGGCTGGCCTCCCAGACCGAGCCCGCCGGAGGAGTCGCCTCCCCGACGGCGCAGCCCAAAGGCGGCGTGCCGCTCTACGTTGGCGGCATGGGCATGGTGGAGGGGAACCGGTCCGGCGGCTACCCGGCGCAGGCCGGCGGGCTGTCGGGCCAGACGTGTGGCCCGGCGCACCCCCTGGGCCGCCTGCTGGAGAACGGGGACAGGACCGCCCACGAGAACTGCTCCTTGGTCATGAGGAGGATCAACGGGGACCTGAAGGTCCGGCAGGCCCAGCTGCTGCAGCAGCAGCAGCAGAAGAGGAGAGGGGGCGAGAACCGGGGCGTGGGGTCAGACCTGCTCAACGGTCACCTGACGGGGTCGCCCGGCCCGGAGGGCTCTGGGGACGCTGTTTTCGGAGCCGGGGACTTGGACTTTAAGAGGAGAAAGTTGGCGGACGGGACTGTTGCCGGCAGGTCGCCGGAGGCCTCCAGGGGGGCGCGGGCGGCCGGCCCGCTGACCGCCGCCACCAACTCCTGCGTCGGAGCTCACGGGGGGCCGAACTTCACCCCCGAGCCCTCTCAGGCCAGGCAGCAGAACGGACGCCACGGGGCCCCCTCGGAGCCCCCGCCCGCCAACGGCCTGATCCCCGCCTGCGGGATGGGCGCCCTGCAGGCCCCGGGGCCGCCCCCCCCCGAGGGCAGCGGCTGGTCCGGCGTGCGCATCGCCCAGCAGTACATCATCCCCTGCATGAAGTACTACGGCATCTGCGTGAAGGACGACTTCCTGGGGCCGCAGCTGGGCGACCGCATCCTGGAGGAGGTGGAGATCCTGAACAGCAGCGGGAAATTTCGGGGCGGCCAGCTGGTGAGCCAGAAGAACATCCCCTCCCGGAACATCCGGGGGGACCAGATCGCCTGGGTGGAGGGCACAGAGCCGGGGTGCAAGAGCATCGGGACGCTGATGGCGTGCATCGACGAGGCCGTCATGTACAGCGCGGCCAACGGGCAGCTGGGCAACTGTGACATCAACGGACGCACCAAGGTGAGAGCAGGGGCGGGGTTATCGATGGTCTGTAGTTTTTTTTGTTTGTTTATTTTTCAAGCTCCATATCAGGCAAAAACACAGAGTCCGCACGTTAGCCAATGGGGGAGCGGCGCTCCGATGACATCAATGAGGCTTTTAGGCCGCACGCCGTCTGCGCCGCCTTATCTCCGCGTCTGTCAGGCCAACATGTGGGCAGGCACGCATACACACCCGGACAAACGCGCTCACACACTCTAGGTAGTAAAGGCGAGAGGAGCCATGTGAGTCCCGGGGCACGTGCGGATGGAAGGCTGCCGCCCCCCCCCCCCCCCCCCCCGTTCCCGCCTTCATACCTCTGCTACCTGGAAGAGGGGGAAAAAAAAAGAGCAAACTCCAGGGCTCTATCTCCACCGCCATCAGGTTATCTCTGCCAGCATTTTCTACCATCACTTTGACCACACAAACATGACGCGAGCATGGCAGGAGGGAGTTCTCTTTGTTTGTTTTCCTTTGCTTTCTATCTGATGTTTTACGCCACGTGACCGGAGAGTGACGTGGAAAGCATGAGATCGGAGTTAAGACACTGAAAAACAACACATGTACACTTTCTGTTTGTGTGTCGGTCACTTTCATACTGGCTTTGCCTCCTGTTAAGGGGCAAATGGACTCATTTTTGTGTTGTTATCCCATTTACTACGCAACTCTTTTTTTCCCCTCTCGGCCAAACTGACATCTTCTATTTCGAAGTATACATTGATTCCCAAGTCCACCAAAGTCACAATAGACCTCATTTATATTAATTTATGCTTAATCTTAAAGTAAAAACAGCAGGAATTATTTTTTTTGGGACAGTATAGACTGGATCTGAGGCTGGAAATAGATTTTAGTCTGAAATCATCCACTCAGGCATAAAAAAGGAGAAAAAAAAACAATGTTCTGAGATATTAAGATTTGAAAGGGATCAAACTGACCCAGGGATCAACAGAGGGTAGTCTGACTGAGCCTGTGGGGCTGCTCTGAAAAAGAAAGACGAACGGCCTCTGTGGTATTTGTTTCTGCTAAATTGTGTGAAATGGGACATCCCATGAGTAGAATAGATCCAAGAAACGTCGAAGCGTGTCAGGTCTGATTTAAGCAAGTGTCACATTACTGCAGCCCCTCGAGGAAAGTTCAGCCAAAGCTGTCACCTGCAGACAGCCTCGAGCCCTCTGCTGCCGACATTATCGCTTTAAGCTAACGCTAGCAGACACGGCGCCGATGTGTGTTGGACACCTGTGTGTCCAAGTGAGAACAACCGGACTCTGATCTGCCCGTCCCTGGTTTTCAATACATAGAAATCCGTCTAGATCTGAGGAACAAAAGTTGGAGGGCGCTTGTGGTGGCAAAAGCGGTGTCAGCCAAGTAGTTTCTCAGCCAAAAAAGGTCCAAATCTCTGCCTACCTTTTTTTAATAGAGCTTTTCAGTTTATCCCGAGGATGATGGATTAGCTTCTGACTCTTTAAGCAGCAGTTTCCTTTTAGGACTGAGATCTGATTTTAATCTGTGAAACAAATGAAGCATCCAAGGCCTCAGAAAAGGCAGATATCTTCATTCATTCATTCATTCATTCGTTCATTCATTCATATATGGCTTTAAAACTTTCTTTGTCAGTCAGGCTGACATCATGTCTGTTGGGACCACATAGAAATACTGGATGGGTCATTTTCATTTAGATGAACTAAAATGGCCTCGAAGTATTTATTCCGAAAATTGTTGCTTCTGTGCTGTGCGGCACAAACCGTTCTTGCTGGGCATTTCTGATAGGCGGTACCGGACACAGGGGAGGGAAAGGTAAGTTGATGGAGTGGCTATGGGAGCGAGGAGGAGAGGTGGAGAGGAGGATCAGGCCGGAGAGCTGCTGTTTTTCTGTCTTCTTTGTGGGTTATCCTCCAGACCTTCTTCTGCCACTCTTTTTGTTTTTTCATCCCTCCCTTTTTTTTCCCCATAGTCTTATCAACCCTACGTGCTTCTTGGACAAAATATATCCCAGCCGTTGCCTTGGTAACAGGCCCATACAGACTAGAGCGGCGCATTGTGTATCAGAGAGATGGAGAGAGAGAGGGAGAGAGAGAGAGGGCGGCTGGCAGTGCCCAGAATAGTGGCTGAGCAGCGGTCAGCCTCTGCTAGCTGGCAGGGTTTAGCCGGCCGCGAGACGCTCCGTGGGCGGGACTGTGGCGTCGGGGAGGGGAACGGCAGCGGAGGCCACGCCGTCCAACCGGACGGCAGGAAAGAGTGAGACGCAAGAAGTGGGCGGGGACAGTCTGGAAGTGAAGGTGGAATAAGGGAGAGGAGGAGAAAAGCGAGCAAAGAGTTGAGCAAGTTGGAAAGGGGCATGGCAGCAGAAGATGGAGCATGATGTCAGCCGCAGCCGTCTCAGATGTCCCCCCCCCCCCCCCCCCAAAAAAAAGCAGCATGTAGGCAGGAGCCCCGGTCAACACTGAGCTGCTACGACCCACTGAGAGATGGGAAAAATAGGCATTTTGGAATCAATCTAGTTCAATTCTCCAACTTGGCAGTACTAAGGGCTTCATTAGAAATGATAATGTTACAGTTTATACTCGCTTTTATTCACAACTAGCCTGCTTACATGTGTAGTGCGTTGTTTTTGTATGTTATTATTCATTTATTCATTCAGACTGTTTCTCTCTGGGACAAAATGCAACCGTGTTGTGAGTCTGTGTGGAAACGGACACATTTTCGGTCACTGTGCTGCATGTAAAGCACAATCATGTCTCCTTAATACACAATGCGGACTCCAAAGGGAGCAGAGCTTTTTTTCTGGGTTTCTCTCGCAAGAGTATAAACACAGGTGGCCGAGTGGTTTTTAGTCAGATTTTTGGTCGTATGCCCAATTTAGTTTAATATTTGGGAGGCGGATGCGACCACCTAAAACAACAAGCTCTGACCTCAGCTCTAGAGTTCCTCACAAATGTCTCATCTTTCTGTGCCAAACAGAAAGGGTGGTGGGGGTGGGGGTTATGTGATACAGGAATCTGCATCAGCTAGGATCTGCTACAGGTCACTTTTCTCAGAAAAGCTGGAATCTGTCCACTGTTTTTTCACACCTGGGATGTTTTTCCAGATAAAGGCAGCGTTTAGCTCAGAGACAACAGATAGAATATCCGGGGTCACTCAAAGTCTCACACTCTCTGACTTTGGGTGATCATTTTTTTCTAATGCCGGTACATGTGTTATCAGCTGTTGGGAGGGAATGATTGATTTTTTGAAAATGAACTAACACCGATTGGCCCCTGAGCTAAAAGATGACCCCATCATATGTCAGGTTTGCACAGTACGCATGGAGCGTTTTCATCCACTCTCTGGGTGGGGGGTGGGGGGGTAGAGATGTGGTAATCTCACTCCGACAGAGTGTGAGTGCAGCTCTGAGCAAAAGCAAGGAGAAAAGTCAAAAGCGGCGGAGGTTCTGTTATTAATTTATTCGTGTGCTACTGGCCGGAGGGCAAAAAAATCAAAACGAAGCGCTTTGAATTACTGCCGACGAGCTGCGGGTTTCCTCCCGATGGCTCATTTGGCTTGAGAGTGGCAGACAAAGCCGTCCTCCTCTGCTGTGTCTGGGCTTGCGTAAGCGTTGATACGCAGCCTGTCTGTTTACGTGTGTGATGTGTTTATGCTTCAGGCGAGGGCTGTGTTTGCTGGTTTGACAAATCACATGTTAATTGTGGCTAATTGCAGTTGTTGAGACTGTTGTCAGTTTTTTTTTTTTTAATTCAGGGAAAATACACTTCCTTTAATACCCCCCCACCCCATGGATCCCACTTAGACATGAGAAAAACCTGCAGTTTCTGTTAGTGCAAGGACAAAGTTAGTTTTTTTTACTATGTTAAAACTGTTTTTCTTTGTTGGGTGCAGGAGGTTTTTCAGCTTTTATCAGGTGGTTTGGTTTTTAAAAAAGATCTAAAATCAAGTTTGACTGTGATTGACAGGCACTGTTCGTTTAAGAACCAGTCAGCCAGGCTATTGCCCCGTTTTCCACTAAAACTATCAAGAATGTCACTAAAACTGTCAGTCTCTGTGTGTCTGTGGTCACAAAAAGGGGGTGGTATATCAACTTTCCGCGTTTATTGGACACAGACAATAGGTTGGCCACTTTTCCTTTGTAGTCCTGATTGAATATATTTCACTATTCTGATCAAAGTTGAAACAAATTCCAGCGTAAACACACAACAGCCACCCACCGTAACGCCCACTGACCAGCTGACCTCGCGTGAGTTTTCTGCAGGGAGTTTTAAATGCAGCCGCGCCTCTGATGACGACGGTGCACGCATGTATTTCCCCTTTTGCCTGCAAACAGCGTTTCCATTGTGACACGGGGAGTCTCCTCGGCAGTTGGAACCAGGAGGAAAAGGTCCCGAGGTTAATGAGCTCTGACTGTGAGCGTTGGCCGGCGACGAGGGGCCAACAATGGCAGCCACCAAGAGTCACCAGCAACCCGGCCAACGCCGGCTGGCTGTGAACGAGGAGGGAAGCGCCACGGGAGCACAGAGGGGGGGGGGGGAAGCGGCGTGCGCTCTGACTGACCGCCGTGGCTTTTTATTTGAGTTTCACAAAAGCAGGAACGGGCGTGTTCGTCTTCCCGAAAGGGGTCGAGGCTCTCGCGCCAGCAAAGGTGATGAGCTGACCGCTTCTTACAGCACAGCTCAAGACACCGGTCAGCCCACAGAGATAAGCCTTCACCCCTCTACTCGCTAGACTGTAGCATCGTCCAAAATCTCCCCCCCCAGGGGGGCAGTGTATCCCGGACGAGCAGCTCGGAAACGGTGCAGTCCCGAACCCGAGCACGTTCAGCTCGTTTCCTCCTTTTTTAAACTTTCATAACATTCACAGGCACGTGGTCTCGTGCTGACCCCTGGTCTGGAATGCGCATTGACCACAGAGCTTACACGCAAGCCTCGGTTCCCCTCCAACTCCCAGGAGAGGGCAGCGCTCTCCTGCCCCGTAGCCTCCAAAGCTCAGACGTCAGGCAGGGGAAATACCAGCGTGGGACCATTGTTTGGAAATGGATACTGTATCTGCAGATCGTTTCTCAGCTGGGAACGACCAATGAACTCGGACAAATTTCTCAGACCTGCTCACACGCAAAAAAACAACAACACACAGACACAAAATGCTATATTTGACCCCTGACTATTGCGTCATCTTTTGCACGTTTTAAGAATTCATCAGAGTTCAGTGTTGTATAAATGTAAACGTAAGGTATTGAATGAAGTTGGCATTGCATGAGATCGTATTTTCTGAAGCTGTATTAAGGGAGTTATTCAGGTTCTTCAGCTGCACAGCTAATGATCTCCTTTCTCCTGTTTTTTAGGCCATGGTTGCCTGTTATCCCGGTAATGGGGCAGGGTACGTGCGCCATGTTGACAACCCGAACGGCGACGGGCGCTGCATCACCTGCATCTACTATCTAAACAAGAACTGGGATGTCAAGGTAACATTCATCACTTTTTTAGATTGATTTCTGTGTCCAGTGGGGGTAAAAAGCAACAAAAGTTCATGTATTTTAAGAGCCGTCCAGAAAAACCTATTGCCACCTGTTTCGGACTGGACCAAACACACTTTTCTTTCACATCTGGCCAGATGTAACACACTCGAGCTTTACTCGTTTTTCTTTTCCCTTTTAATCCTGTTAACAATTGAGAGGACATGAAATCATCCTCGCAGTGGGATGGCTCCATTTTCTCCATGCTGTCAGTGTTTATGAAAACAGTTCTTGCAGATGGCAGATTCCGATGAAACAGTTTAAATCTGAAGCCTTTAGGCATAGAGAAGTTTGGGGAAATCCTCCACTGTATGCATTAGATGGGACGCGTGAAGTAATGCAAACCCGTGACTGTGTTTTCTCTTCGTTTTCCTCCGTAGAAAAAAGGAGGGCTTCTGCAGATTTACCCCGAAGGCAAAAATGTGGTCGCCAACATCGAACCTGTGTTCGACAGGCTGCTCATCTTCTGGTCGGACCGCAGGAACCCCCACGAGGTCAAACCGGCCTACGCCACCCGGTCAGTGATTCAGAATTTTTATGGACACCTATGGGGTTTATCCCCTGTACTCTCCACCTGTGTGCGGAGGTGCCTTCACAGTTTTCAGCAGACAGATTGTGCAGCTCACACGCCGAATGAGCAAAGAAGGTTTTCGGCGTTGCGCTGAGATTTTGCTCCCCCGTGTCTCTTTTTCAGTCTAACTTCCTCCTCCCTAACCCTCTGAACAATTTAGTCAGTGACGTTGGCTTTTTGTAAATTAAACCAGACAGTGATTTAAGAGGGGGGGGGGGGGGACCAGACAATTGCGTTGCGAAAACAGCGTCCACAACTGTTGTGGTTTCCTTGATGCTGCTGGGAGATAGTTCTGCCGCGAACATAAACAGGCTCGTGCCCGGATCACGTGACGCAGAGCCCTTCCTCTCCTTTCCATCCGACTGCTGGGGGGCGAGGCGGGGCCGGAGGCAGGAAGTATGTGTTTCCTGAGGAGGTCGCTGGGAGGGAGAGGGGAGGAAGGTTCGATAGCAGGACTCGTGCTGGGGAGGCACACACATGGGAGACAGGAATAAACAACAAAGCCCCACAGGAGAGATGAGAAGCCATAGGGATTAACCCTCTATTAGCCCGGAGGCTAACTGAACAGTGTTTCTGCCCAGATCTACTGCCTCTGTTGGAGTTTTTACATCATTCAGGAGGCAACGTTCCGGCATTTTCCTGCATTTCCAGTACAAAGTGGCTTTTGAAACCTGGAACACAAATAAAGATTTGGTGTAACAGACCTACACAACAAATTGATGACATTTGAAAAAAGAGGAAAAAGGAATTGAGATTTGTCCACATAGTCGCCAGATTTGCTTTAAAGTCCAAAATTAGATCAGGTGATTCCTATTACTTCTGAAGTCACATTTATAGTCCCCTTTGTGCGATCCGAGTGTCACATGAGCCTCTGCAGAAAAGCAACTCGTGTGAAAGGTCCCAGAGTTTGGGCATCCAAAAAGCACCCGGCGCAGTCGGGATCAAGTTCGGATTAGCGAGAGGTTGTGTGACAACAGAGGAAAGAACGCGACACCATAACGAACCTACCAAGAAAAGGTCAGACAGTACCGCTCAGGGGTGAGGCCAGAAACCCGAGGGGGAACAAAGACGCCAAATGTAACTCGAACTACTTTAACGTGGGCCAAAGCCGTCGTGGTACCGTTGCAGTGGCGAAGCACGGTGGTGGCAGCGAGAGGACATTTTTAGGAGCTCGCCCTTTTATTTTTTTTAAATGAATGTTTTTGTTGTATTTTGTGAAAGATTTGAGACTGTGGTAGCTTTCGGTTGAAGCGGCGCTCAGCCGAGCATCTTTTTCTGACGCGTTTCAGACGTTTTTTCTCTAGTGGAATCTTGAAGGTTTTTTAACAGCATTAGCTCCATGTCTCACTTGAATCTCTTTTTTGTGTCTTGCAGCTATGCTATCACAGTCTGGTACTTTGATGCCAAAGAGAGGTTGGAGGCAAAAGAAAAGTACAAATTGGGTAAGCCTCCCCATCCCCACTCCCACTCCATAATCAACCCACCTATTCTCATATGGGCTGTATTTTGACATTTAAGGTACTATTTTGATGATGACGTACGTCTTTGTGCTCTGTGTCTCCGTGTCCAGCCACTGGACAGAAGGGCGTTCAGGTGCCGGTGACTCAAAGCTGCAGGACATAAAACTCCCCGAGCGACCGGAGAGCGCTCTCTCAAAGTAGTATTACGTGCCTTCCCCGACTGCTGACAGACATTTGCGATCACAAAGGGAGACAAGGCCGGTCTGTCCGCCTCCGCCCCCCCACCCCCTCCCCCCCGCCCTGCTGAGCGTCAGCTGTCAGTCGCCTCACAGGCCGTGACGTAACGGCCGGGCTGCCCTTCAAAGCGGCGGCGGAAACGAGCACAAGTCGGTGACGTCCGAGCTGCAGGGGCGTGGCAAAAGAGGACCGCGGCGCCACCTGCCAGGACAGCTACCGAAAAAAAAAAAGAGAAGGACTCTTTCCTGTTCTTTCGTTGCAGTTATCAGTATCATTGTGATGTTTTGAGCTATACACGTTTTAGTCTCTCGTTTTGAATGAAAACAGAGCGGTAAGTGAGGAATCACCAGGCAGCGGTCAGTGGCACAAAAGGGGCACAACTAGGAGAAATCAATGCCCTGAAATTCCTTCTTGCCACTCGTGTGTGTGTGTGTGTGTGTGTGTGTGTGTGTGTGTGTGTGTGTGTGGTGTCATCCCCCTGATTCACAATGTTTGGTGGGCATGGGGGTGGGCAGCGTGTATGCCTGGCCGGTTTAAAACTGGAAAGGAAACGGGCTCTGACAAGGCATCAGATGATCTCTGCAACGGGAGGAGCACTGACTCCAACATCACACGGGCCTGCTCACAAGTACTAATCAGTGCACGAGTACAATCTACACTGTTTGTGTAGGAGTTTGGGACTTATTCTGGTTTAAATGGCCCCAGAATGGTAGTGCAGGAAAAAAAAACACTGAGAATCATGTGTGTATGCGTGTGTGTGTGTGCGTGTGTTTTTACAACTCGTGTATCACGACTGAACAAAGAGTACACTAAGGGTTTTTACACACTCGAGGTGCGGCTGAATTACATTTCTCACAACCTGAGACACGAGGCCAGCTGCTAAATGACGTTTAAGTTGTTCAAAGAAGTCGGTGTGGAAGTCGTTTTGGTCTGTCCGTGTCTTCTTCTGACCAACATAGAAGCCGCACGTGTGACCAGGGTGGACGCTGTAGAGACACACACACACACACACACACACACACTCGGACACACGCACACACACAAAAAGAAAAGCTTGATTAAAGCTAGTAAAAAGAACTAATACAAGTCTTAGTGAACAGTGCATTAACGTGAATGAATTCACCTAATTCAGCCTTTAAACTTTAGACGTTTTCATCGGGAAAGCACAGGGTCAAGCGTACAGGACTCTGTATGCGAGCGTCCGCCCGCTCACTCGTGGGATTGAGTGTTTGTGTTTTAGATGCGTGGCACATGTATGTGATGAATTCCACTGTCTCCAAGAGGGTCCCAGGTCTTGTTTCTGTGTGTGCGAGATTTGTTTGAATAGAAGGTTTTGTTTAAAAAAAAAAAAGCACTTTATTATTTTAGAATTGCCATGACTGAATGATAGATGCGATGTAACTAAAAGATGTAGAAAATGCCTTTCATGCTGTGGTTTAAGTACCTTGTTGATATTCGAATGCAATAGCAACTAAAATGATGAGAACAAATGGAACTGGTTTGGCTGTTTTGTTTTTAAGTGTACAATTAATACCTGCTTTTGTACATGGAATTGTAAATGATTAAAAGGAAAAAAACTAAACTGTCTCGTCTTAATTCATCTTTTCTATAGTTTCTTTTTCACGTCGGATGAGACGAGAAAGCGGATTCAGACTCGTTTTAGGAACAGGCTGAGCACGTGCTCGGTGAATAGTTGCCCTCCTCATGGTTAATAATAAAATCCACAGTTAATGCTCCATGATACCTCACAGATGTGTTTAACACTACAGCATGTTAGAGACTTGGTGGCATAAAAAGATTAACTTGAATAAAGATTAATTGTTCCCCACATCTCTGAAATGTTAGAAAAGAGAAGAGAAATTAACATTTCATTTTCAGGTAGGCGTTTTTTCATTGTTTTTTTTTATGTTTGGGACGAATTCTTAGGGAACTGCATGCAAACAAAGCATCAGCAAACAGATTTACAGAAACTTGACTCATTGTGCAAAGGCCTACCCAAGAAATGTCTGCAGCCTCTGCATTCCAGCTAAAACCAATTCAGCCGTCGAGCTTGGTGCTCCCAATTTGTTTGTAACGAGAATTATTAAAGACGTCCATTGCTTCTGTGCCTTTTACACTTCCACCATTAAATAAAAAAATCTAGTGGATTTATATTAAAACTGAATCTATCTCCGGTCACTTAGGAGAGAAATAATGAACAGGTTCTGTATCCATGCCTATCTATGCACCAACCAATCTATCTGTTTATTTTCACAGACAACCGGCAAGGTCTCATTTCAAAGTTTACTTTTAGGAAAGCCAAATCTGCCGAATAAGCTCCAAACATGAACAGGCACAGGAAGCAGATGGATGACATTCAGGACTTGGATTATTTGGCCATTGTCCGGCTGTCAACGTTAAGACATTATTTGGGACGTGGACAGCAAAATGATAGGCATATTTTTCCTTTCCATGAAATGAAAATATATGATCGGTTCATTAGTGTCCACTATACAAGCTGAAAAATTTTAAAACAAATGTTTTTATGTTGTTGGAAAAAAGTTACATTATTTATTTGATCAAATGAAGGGGGAAAGGGAATCATTTAACCAAGTTCACTTGCTTTAAATAAGTTCTGACCTTTTGAATTATCACTTTCAACCACATCATCACAATAAGTTCTGCGAAAACAAACAATTAATCAGAGCAAAAACACACATTTTTTGAAGAAATAAACTCTCTCAGTCCATCTGAAACAGTCCAGTCTTATTATTTTTGTCCTTGTTTCTGTATGTTCTCCAGTAAGCCAGGCTGAGTGACCCAAACACATGTTTGATTAAATATACACAAGGGCAGATAAATACACATAGGGGAAATTCAATTCCCATAAGCTAAAGAATTGACAAGCATATTGCTGGATCTGTTAAGTTTCTCTGAAGTACTGAACTCACAAAGCACTTTTTCTGAGAGGATCATAGTATTATAAAGTATCATATATTATATATGGTACTATAGATGACCGTCCACCTGTACACATGACCCTCTCCGTGGCACAAATGGGGATTTTCTCCATACTTAAAAGATGCTTTCACTCGTCGTTCGGCGTGATGAAGAAGCTGAAGGCGAAAAGCCCGGCGGAGCAGCGCTGGGTGCAGCGGCAGCTCAGAGACCCGTACGTCAAAGCTTCTCATGCGCAAAACTTTCGCTGCAGGAGCGCCTTCAAACTGCTGGAGATGGATGACGAGTTCAGGATTTTACAGCCCGGGCACAGCGTGGTGGACTGCGGGGCTGCACCCGGGGCCTGGAGCCAGGTGGCTGTCCAAAGGGTCAACTCCGGCGGGACAGGTGAGAGCCAACGTGCCCCTAAATAAATATACAGAAGCAAAACTTAATGTAAACAGAAGGAAATGAGAAATGTTCTTGATTGGTGAGTATGAATATAAACACAAGGATTGAGCAGAGCCTTAGATCAAGCCTCTTTGGGATTTTTCTGTTTAAAATAGGTAGGTTTTTGGGGTCAGAACAATATTAAAGAACTCCAGCCGTCGAATCCTGAAGGAACAAACGATGGAGCAGTTTTTTCTGAGATGACCCCCAATGTCTGTTTCTCCAGGAAGAGGAGTGTTCACCAACGAGTCCATCGAACCTCCCAGCTTTGTTGTCGAGTACCGGGGAGAGATCTCTCGACATGAAGACCCCCAAAGGAAGAGAGACACTCTGAATGGTTTTGTGTTTGACTTCTCGTTGAGTCGGACAAACTGGAGGTGAGTTTCAAAAGATAAACCATCCACAAACCAGCCTAGGGGCAACAGTTTGAATGAGCCGCTTCGACTCTCCTCCACCGTCGTCTGTTTTCGTTTCTCTTTCTCTGGTAGCGTCGATGCTTCGGCAGAAGACGGGAGCCTCGGGAGGCTTGTGAACGACGACCACCTGAACCCCAACTGCATATAGTTCTGAAAAGCTCATGGACACTTTTAAAAAATGTTTTCCTACTTAGTCACCACAATGAACTCAACTTTTGTCAACCTCTAATTTACACAGACTTTCTCTTTGTGTAATAAATATGATGCGTCAGCTACATTTACATTTACACGTTAAAGGGAACCACGGGTCCAGTCTGACATTTGTTTGTTGTTTTTATTTGTTTTTATTTTTTACACAATTGGGTCTTAAGACACAAAAGGCAATATCTAAAAACAAAGTTATGTTTTTTAACCTGCACATTGAAAAATGCAATCTTCAATGAATGAAATAATGAGGGCAAAATATTTCTGAGATGATCCAATAACCATGGCTTGGGTAAACCCATCCAGGAAATGGTTTTAGACTATTCCAAGAATTACAAGGGAAAGTCCATTCTTCAAAGTGTCAGCAGTGTTCATGTAGTGAGAAGAGACATCACGTCCAACTCTGAAATAAGTGAGCTGCTGTCTGTTCAGTACTGTCTCCAGTTGCTTTTTCCTTCTTTGTGTTCGTTTGAGGTCGCCATGAGAACGATCATAACTAAATATGATTGATTGTGTGCTTCTTGGTGGAACGTTGAATGCCATCAGTGCTGTACCTCATAGCCTTTGCGTTTCTTCAGCCTCTTGTTCTCCAGCTTCTTTTATGGTTCGGATCACTTTCCAGGGACTGCTGGAACAGGCGCCTGCCGATGGGCTGTTTTGACACACATGCTGTCAAAGGTTGTGTCTACACATGCCTTCGTGTGCTCGCAGTGTCTGATGTGTGGGAGCTTCAGCCTGGCACGCATCTTCTTGTCACGCATAACGCCCGCTGCGCACCCATCCATGCTTCCACGTGCCGAGTTAGGCAGAGTTTGCCACCACGGCCTCCAAACCACCTATATCCTTGGCTGCACTGTGGTCAGGCACAAAAAAAAAGAAGAAAACAGGTACAAAAAGAAGAGTGCTGACAATGTCTCTATTTGATCACATTTATTCAATATAACCATCAACTGTGCAAACTTTTTTTTAAATCTCTTTTTTATGCCCCTTTTTTTTACCCCTTCAATTCTGGTTGCAAATCCCAGTAACATGACTTTTGAGTATAGTGCTTTATCAACAGTCAGTCATCCATTAAAACAGTCTGCAATGTTCATAGGTATTTATCAGCTCTGGCTTAACAG